TCCCCTGCTTACCTTGCAGGACTGCTGTGAGAAAGAAGTAGTAAGGTAATGTATGAGGAAGGGTTTTACAATAATGGCAGAGTGTAAGGCTTTATTTCCTCAAGATGAAATTAAAAGGTCTTGGTAAATTTGGAATTGTCATTTCAATATGCAACTAATTTGCCCTTACATTTAATTAAGCATGTGTAATAATTTACCTTTTTATCTCAAGTTTTTAGTCTTGCAACCTTGTGTAGTGGGTCTTAACATTATTCCCAGTAAGAGTGGAGGAAAATAAGGCAATGAAAGGAAAGTCATCTTAAAGGAGGTATATTCTATGTTTGGAGAGCACCTCGTTGTCTTCTTGGCCCGTTACATAAGCACACCTCACTGCCTATTCTAATTTATCACTCCCACCCTGAAACATCTGATTTACCCATTTTGACCTACATTTGTATCATGCCTTTTTACTACTCCAAGCCTCTTACATGTGACTTTCCCCCCTCTGCTTGGAATTCCCTTTGTCCCAGTCTCATCTAAAACACCTGCTCTCGTTGTTCAGCTCAGTTTCATCATTACCTCGTCTGCAAAGCCCCTCTCAATTCCCTCATGCAAAAGTGTAGACACTATAACTACCTGAGAAGCACCGTATGCATACCACTGTTTTAGCCCTCATTGCAGTGCCGTGTGATGCTTATTTACCTGTCAGAGCCTTTCAGTTTTGGAAGCTCTGTCGTATTCATCTTGACTTTCCAACCTAGGCAACATCACCTGGGCCAGGTGTCTCATACATATTTATAAATTGCTGTTGACTCCTAAATAAAGCTGTAATATTATTTTACCATGGTATTTTTACTGGGGGAAGAAATGAAACATATAAAGAATAATGTACCAATTTTTTTTCAGAGCCTGAAGGATGTTGATTCCATTTTTGCACCTGAAAATTTGAGGTAGAAGCTGTTAAACAAAACAAAAGCAAAAACAACAAACAAACAAACAAAAAGAAATGAAACGCTGATATACTGTGAGAATTTTAAAATATTGAATAGTATCTGTCTTTACCAATGACAGCAGATCTTTCTTGAGCCTTGATGTCACAGTGAATTGAATTCAAGGATCATATTGATTCTTTAGCTGAGATTTTGTGTAAATTTATGTGGTTTTGTGACCGGCATCCATCCTAGAGTTACCATGGATACTACAAAGTTTTCATCTTATTTGCAACAATTTCTAGGGCTCTCCCTAAAAACCAGTTGTTTTTCCTACAAAAGTAGACTGTCTTCCAAAAGAGGCCCCGCACACATGCACAAAGATGAATCAGTAGGTAAGCAGCAGGCAATATTTTCCCCACTCGCCCAGCTGCCCTGTAAGCAAACAAAAAATTCACCCACACACAAAGAAGGTATATTTCCTTATTTTCTGTATTTTCAAATGTATTTCTACCTTCTCAAAGTCACCATTCTAGAAAATTTCTAATGGGATTTTAAATGCTTATGTTAGTAGACTTATCCTAGATTACTGGCACTGTCTTCTATAAAATACTCAAGCTTTGATCAGGACTCCCACAGTGAGCACTGTACCTGCATTCTGTTCTCTTTATGGCTTCAGTTGCTTAAAAAACAGAAATGTTAGTTAAGAATGTTACAAACATGGTAAAAGTAAAAAAGCAAAACAACAACAACAAAAATGTGTCTCTACATGACCCCTCGTGACTGTTTGATTTACTTTTAGAGCTCTTCTCAAGCACATGAACTATGTATATGTTGATTTAGAGCAAATATTTCCTGTTCATTACCTTACAAAAAAAAAAAAACAAAAAAAAAACTCCTGTGTATTACTTAGAGCACGACCAGGTGAAACTGGAGACAGACCTTAGTCATTCCTAAAACATAGATGGCAAGCAGTTTAGTACCAATTCCTTTATCATTTCTTCCATTTCTCTTCATCTTAAAGTGGAGTTATTAGCAGTTCTTGATAACTGGAACTTTGAAACCAATTTTTTTTTTTTCCAGAATGGTAGTAAAGGAAAGTTGATCAAAAGGATGCTTGACAATTGCTGAAGTCAATTTCTTTCTACAGGGCAGTATTGAGTAAACACTGAACATTAAGCAGTTATTGAATATCTTTTATAAGCAGTTTTAGTACAAATGTGTGTCCATATTTTGCCATCTGTAGAAATGGAAGATATAAACAGAGCCCAGTATTTCTTGATGATCACTTTAATATGGTGGTATTTGGGATGTTTGTAAATATCGCAGAAACAGATACAGGAGCCAGAATTCATGTTCAGAAACTTGTGAATCATGCATGTGGATTCCAGATTTGTTACTCTACATCAAGGACACAATGGAGAACAATTTTTTTCCCTAAGATATTGCATAAAGTGAAATATAGCTGCGTTTGTGTGCACACTCTGTGGGACACTGGAAATGTAACAAATAAATTCTCAAGGGGTTTATTATTTAATCAGTGAAAACAAGCTCATTGTCTGGCCTTTTTATGGTACCTATGTGTGTGCACACATACACACACATACACACAAAGCATGGCAGAATGAGTATTAATTTCCTATTTAAATACAGTCTTTCCAGAATTTACAAAAATTTTGCGTATTTTATAGATTTGGCATCATGAATTTCTCCCAGGAAATTTCACAGGATGTTGTCAATATGTATTCTTACCTCCTCCCACACACTTTCCCGTAATTACTAGAAAGATATCAAATTCCAGAGAAGCACTCCTACTCAAAGATACTTTGAGAAGGTAATGGGCCTCCTCTTAAACACATCCCTGACCTAAGTGTGTTGCTACATGGAGGGCTGAGGGTTCTAGACTACCTCAAACTACAGCTGTATTCACAGTATCCTCACGCAGAGACATAAACTGTGCTGCCCTCTCTGCATCCCACCTCACTGTTTTCCTCATGGCCGCCCCACCGTGAAGGCTTTGAGGGTTCTAATCCTGGAACTGCCGGCTCTCTGCAGAGCACTGGTCCGTTTGCTGGGTGTTTAACACTCAGCTCTGCTTTCTGCTTCCCGGAATCCTTTGAGCCACACCACTTTTGCAGTTCCCATCGAGCTCCCTTTTCTCCAGGCAGTTCACTTTCCCAAGGAGATTTTCCTGTCTAATCTCAGGTGCAGGTGGGCCGCTCTTCCTTAGATGCTTCCAGCATTCTCTCTATCCTCACCCTTGCCCGTGAGAATCAAAGAATGAATCGATGTTTGGATGCCTGGATGGCTCAGTCGCTTAACGTGTCCGACTCTCGATTTTGGCTTAGGTCATGATCTCATGGGTTGTGAGACTGAGCTCGGTGTTGGGCTCTCACTCTGCGCAGAGCCTGCCTGAGGATTCTCTCCTCTGCTACTCCCCCAACTCATTCCTTCTCTCTCTCTCTCTCTCAAATCTTAAAAAAAAAAAAAAAAAAAAAAAAAAAAAATTAATGAGCCAATGTCTCTGCTTTTCAGAGTAAGAACAATAGCTTGTTGTAATCCTTGTCCTGCTAATCCCCTTCCTTCTCCCACAACCTTTTTTAGTGTCCCTTTTCTGAATTCACACAAGTAGTCTATTGCCTTGACGCCTTTCAGAGAGCATGGTTTTTAATGGATACTCAATAAAGATTACAGATTTGTGTGCCAGAACCGGATTCACATTCCAACCACACAACATATTTAGTATGTGATGTTGGGCCAAACTGCTAGAAGCTCTGTGGCTCACTTTGCTCATCTATAAAATGGGGATAACAAAATTAAAGAGAAAAGGGCACATAATAGGCACTAGGAAGTAATGGTTCCATTTCCCCTTGTTGAATAAATGAATGTCTAACAAATGAAAGACATGTTGTCTGGACTTTTGCTCTCTGACAGGCTCCCGTGAAGCTTCTTGACTTCTAGGCAGAGGGGTCAGTTTGCTAATTCAGTAGCTTGACTTTGCAAGGCTGCTGAGTCATCCCAACCACCCTGCTTCTTTGTTTGTTTGTTTGTTTGTTTAAGATTTTATTTATTTATTTGACAGACAGAGATCACAAGTAGGCAGAGAGGCAGGCGGCGGGGGAAGCAGGCTCCCCGCTGAGCAGAGAGCCCGATGTGGGGCTCGATCCCAGGACCTTGAGATCGTGACCTGAGCTGAAGGAGAAGCTTTAACCCACTGAGCCACCCAGGTGCCCCAACCACCCTGCTTCTTAGTATCACCCATGACCTCCCTCGTTACATCTTGTTTATACCTAGAGCCTTGAGTGTTTCACTCTGTAGGCTGCTGAGGGGCAGTTTCTCTGAATCAGACAATTCTTGTTCTGGGTTACTAGAGCCCATGGGATTATCCTAGCTCTTGTAGTCCTGCAGAACTTTACATCCTAGAGACAGACGCTCCTCTGACCCAGTGCTTCCACCCAGACCCTCACAGTGGCCGGCCTGTCTCTTCCAAGACATTGAAGACGGACTAAATGGGAGGAAAGGGCAAAGACAAAGTCAAATATAAATCTAGTAGTTCAAACTTGAGTGGATGGAGGAGCGATGGTATCAGGGACGGAACACCTAGGATATAGAAAATGATGATATGAATCTAGCAAATTTTGTTTCAGATTCTGAAATATGTTACCTTTTTAGCCATCAGTGGGAGAAAATAAATGGAAAGCAAACTATGAATAGAACTAACCAAAATTCAAGATGACATTACTCCAAGGAGCAATATAATGGTGCCTATCAAATATTAAAGCTCATAATCATGTGAAGTATCTTGGGAGATTTTAAGTAATTAAAATTATGTAAGGACGAAGTCAGAATGTATAACAGGATCCATTTTTGAGGTTATTTACTTCATTATTTCATTAAGTAATTATTTTCCTTTCTTTAGTGAACATAGGCTTCCCCATCCTTTTAAAATGGTGTCATTCTTCGTGTACTTTATATATTCTCACATAGTTGAGAATAAAATTCTCCTGTGAAATAGTTTCCTGCAATTTTTTTTTCTTTTCTTTAAATAATTAGTTTTCCCAAGATAAAATAAAATGTTGTACTGCCTTGCAGCCTCACTGTTAGGAACGAAGAAAGAGGGGAAAATGTGGGAAGACCCACGCATACCACAAAAATGGAGAGCATCCAGGTCTTAGAGGAATGGTAAGTGTGCTTCCCCTTGTAAATGTGTCTGGTACGTGTACACCACGTACATCTACGCAGTGCTGGAACATGAGCCCTTGTGTCCCGGTGCTCCTCGGAATGGTTTTTGAATGCCTTCTCGGTCTGGGAGATCTTATTTTGTGACGGCAACTGCTTTTCATCAATTTTTCTATTAGCTATGTTAAGCTATCAGCTAAAACACTGCCTGAGTTTATCTCTCTCTTTCAAAAAGTAATGACTGTTAAGATGAATTAGCCCCTGATTGCCCTAATTCTTCTCTTTCCGTGAACATTTTTTCTAAGCGTTTCTCTTCCTCAGGGAAGAGTCTGAAACACACAGAAAAAGATATATAATTACCTCACTTAGTCAGAAAGGGCACCCAGCTGGTCCTTGATCCCATTTCCTTCAGAACAGATTCTACCCAGGTATTTTCTCTAGAATGAGAATCAAGTTCTCATTGCAGTGTCTACAGAATAAAATTAAAATACAAGTCGATTAGTTGTATGATGATAGGTGCTTTTTTTTCTGCTTCCTATGAAAAGATTTTAATGTTGGTGCCTCATCGTAATTTTTCCACCTTTAATTTTTTTTAAGTGAAAGAGGAAGTTCAGACATTTTGGATCAGTGACAAATCTATTTAATATACTTGGTCAAAAAAACAAGAAAAAATAAAATATAAATACTTCTTGGACCAAATGTATTTTGGGTTGGAAAATTCTTTTTTTTCTTTCTCTTTTTTAAAAATATTTTTAAAAAAAAATTCCAGTTAACATACCGTATAATGTTAGTTTTAGGTGTATAATGCAGTGATTCAACGCTTCCATACAACACCCTGTGCTCATCACGACAATCGCATTCCTTAATCCCCATCATTTATTTCTCCCATCCTCCCACCCACCTCCCTTCTGTAACCATTAGTTTGTTTTCTATGGTTAAGAGTCTGTTTCTTGCTTTGCTCCCCCCTTTTTTTTACCGCTTTGTTCATTTGTTTTGTTTTTTAATTCCCTATATAAGTAAAATCATATGGTGTTTCTTTCTGACTTATTTCACTTAGCGTAATACTCTCTAGTTCCATCCACGTCATTGCTGAGTAATATTCCACTGTATATATACACCATGTCTTCGTTACCCATTCATCAAGTGATGGACACTTGTGTTTTTTCCATAATCTGGCTATTGTAGATAATGCTGCTGTAAACATTGGGCTGCACGTACCCCTTGAATTAGTGCTCTTGTATTCTTTGGGTAAATACCTATAGTGTCATTGCTGCATCGTAGGGTAGTCCTCTTTTAACTTTTGGAGGAGGTTGGAAAATTCTTAAATAAACCGATGGATAGGAAAGCAAGATTGGGATCAATTTAACCATAAGAATCTCTAAGCTTCTCTTTCCATTTCTTTGAAGTATAACCAAAGGGAGTAACAACTGGTGGTTTCTGCATGAACATAATCACTGAAAACTTAAATATAAGTATCTAGAAAGTCCTCAGTGTCATTATAAAGGCCTTGAGATTTTTAGCTCTAATAATTCCATTCATGGGTAATGCTCTATTCATAATACTTTAATAGAGTAATACTAGAGCTTAGGAAAATATACAAGTGCATACAATTTAGAACCAGTGACAAATGAAAAAGTACCTGTCAGAGAGGAAAAGAGAAGCAGTACCTTATGGCTTTAAAGTTAAAATATACATCAAAAGATATAAATACTTAAAAGACGCAACAAAAAATTCAATTTGCCCTTCAAATTAATGCATAGGGTGTCTGTCAATTTGCAATATATTGTTAAGTTTGAACATTTCTAGGCTTCATTATGAATTATGATGACCGTGAGAAATAGTGTGTATAACCCTTTGCTGTTTGAATGCTTTGCTCCCCAACACACATTTGTGCCTAAACGAATTTTTTTTTAATACCCAGAAGTAGCCTAGTTCTCGCAGATACTTGACAGATAAGAGCAAAATAATTGTCAATGACCACTAGATGGCAGCAAATGAACAGCAATTTCTGTCCTTTCTCCCCTCTGCCGACCAAGTATTCTTACATCAGAGTTGCCTTTGATGATGGCCCAATTCTGTCTTTGCAGCCAAAACCCCACTTCAGATGAAGTCTTGTCCTGGTCTCAAAATTTTGACAAGATGATGAAGGCCCCAGCAGGAAGAAACCTTTTCAGAGAGTTTCTCCGAACAGAATACAGTGAAGAGAACCTACTTTTCTGGCTTGCCTGTGAAGACTTCAAGAAAGAGCAGAACAAAAAAGTAATTGAAGAAAAGGCCAGAATGATCTATGAAGATTACATTTCTATACTATCACCAAAAGAGGTAAAAATCTGGAAAATATTTATGGGCTTCCTAAGACCAAGGATGAACCCAAAGGGACCTCTGTCCACGTTGGGTAATGCATGCGGTGTGGACAGTCTAGAAGGCTTCCCTGGGGAGGTAATTTAGATTTTCCTCTGAGTGCCTACCTGAACATACGTTTGAAGGCTAGGTTTCCCCATTATGCTTTGATCATTTATCTCTCTCTGAACCGTGGGGCTGGCTACTTGCTTTTCAGAACTAACGTTGCAAAGCCTCTTAAATACAGTTTGCTTAATACAGTGACTTACGCTAAAGAGGAAAAGAAGAATTTACTGTGGGGCAGTTTTTCTCTAAGTGTGGTCCCCAGATCTCCTGTCTAAGGATCACCAGGAGCATTTGTTTGAAAAGCAAATTCTAGAGGCCTACCCAGGACTTCTGAATCTGAATTTTTGGAAATAGAGCCCAGGAATCTGGACTTTTAACAAGCTTTCCATGTACACACTAGTTTGAAAGCCTCTAATAGGAGCTTAAAAAAAAAAAAAAAAAGCTACTATGTTTATTGATGCTCATGGTAGAATTTTTATAGGATTAAAGAATGGGCATTTATGACCCATTAATATTCTTAGGAGAGAGATGGGCAATAGCAATTCTTTTATTTATTTCGGTTACTCTGTTACTGAAAGTGCAAGCTTTTTTTTTTTTTTTTTGCCATTTTGCTGAAACATGCCTAATTAATAAGGAACATTTCAAGCAAACAAATTAACACTTTTCCATTAACTTTTTAAAAAATAATTTGGTCCTAAGTAATGCTCCAGCTGCCAGAGTGAAAAGGACTTGATGAGGGAGGAATTAGTAGGGTAGCCAGGCCTCTGCAGTGCTGAGTGACAGAGTTCCACTCCACACCACCCTCTTTTTGTCTTTCCTGTCTCTGTGCACTGAAATGTCCTGACCTGGCTCCTTCGGCTCCACACTCCTCTCCTGTGTGCCCATCTACAATATTCCCTAGAAATTCCCTAGTAATATTCTCTGCTCATTGGGGCTTCCTCCAGTCCGGGATGTGGCCCCAACCTGCCCTACACCCCTCACCCTGAAATCTATAAAACGAATCCACGTCTATGTTTGGAAGGCTATATATAAACTATTTCACTTCTAATAAGGTGTACCTTAGTAAGTTTTAAAAATTTGTTAGTTAAGTTATAGTTGCCATTGGTATTCCAGAGAACCCCAAGAGTATTGTCTCCACAAGATGAGAGACCTGGAATTGGATATACAAAGATTGTTTTATTTTTTTATTTCCCTCATTAATGTAGAGAAAAGTATTCCTGGAAACAAGGTGTGCAGAATTTTTTCTGTAGCCTCAGTGCATTTCTTATAGATGCTACTTTGTGGTTCTAACGTCAGAACTACATGCTTCAGGTTGGTAGTCTATCTGGAAGCTCAGCACCTAGCCACTTCTTCTTGGATTTTATTAGCAGATACATTTCATTCTCATTTTTATTTTAAGTTTGCATTACATGGCAAAGATATCAAACGATCCAAATGTGCCCAATGATGTGCTTCTGTTGCACATAATTGTTGTTTGGGAAGATTATCTAGCTCGTTTCTCTCCCCAAAATATATATTATGTATCATGTGAAAATGGTAATTGCCTCGATTATCTAGTCCATTCTTTGTACTATCTATGATAGGTGTTCTACTTTAAAATAATGTTGGTAGAAAAAATATTCTCCATACGAAGTACATAGAATTCCTTTATTTCACAGTCTTCATTTACTAGTTTTTAGTTTTTATGGGAAACACTTTCCCATTATCTTCAGACTCCCAATTTTCAGGTGTCACGGATTAATGGAGCTTTGTAAAATAAACAGTTTTCACAAAATTACTTCTTGGGGCCAAAGTTTCAAGCTATCTTAGTTATTGATTACTGAACTAAAAACTATTGGATTTTCATTGTTTTTGCAAAAGTAATGGAGTTTTGTTTTAGCCTAATTTATTTTGAATATGAGTTTCACCAAAAAGTCATTAAAATATTATTTTCTGATCAAAAGCACTACCTTCCCTAAGTTAAATGGACTAATATTTAGTGTAACAGAAATATATCTTTTCTCTTTTGTGTATCTATATTTGGGCCATTACCCACTCTTTAGTATCCTCAAAATACCACACACACACAGAGAGAGAAGCAACATGCACATTTTTATCATTTTGCTACTTGTGTACTGACTTGTAAATAACTCTTGACAAAGAATCTAAATGGACTGTACGAAGTGCCTTTTTTTTTCCTTTCTAATTTAATTTTATTTTGTGTATGTGTGTGTTCCAAAATTCATTGTTTATGCACCACACCCAGCGCTCCATGCAATATGTGCCCTCCTTAATACCCACCACCAGGCTCACCCAACCCTCCACCCCCCTCCCCTCCAAAACCCTCAGTTTGTTTCTCAGAGTCCACAGTCTCTCGGGTTTGTTTTCCCCTCCAATTTCCCCCAACTCACTACGAAGTGCCTTTGTTTAGCCAAAGGATTGTTCTCCTGTCAACATAGTAATTACATTTGATCATTTGATCATTGTTTATTAGCAAAAACAAATAAACCAAAAGTAGGTATTTGCAATTATAAAAGAAAATTGTTTATAAGTTATATTTTAAGCCAAGATATAAATATATTTGCTCTTGAACCATGACCTGACTCACTGAGACACTTACAAAATGGCATGCACTTTCTGGCCACCCCAGAGTCCTTTCTAAACTGTTACATCTCACTGACCTCTCTGTGCAAAAAATCTCTGATCAGCCACAATACATTAATAACTGTCTGATGATACCAAGTTGTCACCCTTCCAATGTTGTTTTCCAACACTGGAGAGAATACATGTCACATCAAGACAGCCCTGACCGTATAGTAGTAAGAGCACTGAACTCATCATTCAGATGCATGGGATTCTGGTTCTGGATCTGCTTCAAGCTGATCGTGTGGCCTGGGAAAAATTAGTTCACTTCTCTGATTTGTTGTTCAGTTGCTTTGTTTACCAAAGTAAAGATAAAATGGGACACAGAGACTAGTAAACCAAATCTGGAATGACAACTGTAAGGCTCTTGTGCTACTACTCCATTCTCTCCACCAAGTGATGTGGCTAATCTATTATGGTTCTTACTGCTATACCCATATTCAACCAGAGAATTTCTCTCAACGCAGTATTCAAAGCAGCCAGGCTACAAACTGTTAGAGTTGGGATCGATTTCCCATTTGGGGACTAGATAATCTGGCCTTTCTACCTCTGAAATTCTGTAACTGTTTCTGTTTACTTTGAATATTTTTAAAGAACATGAAAATTTGAATCATTTATAAAATAAGGACTAAATAAAAATTATCAGGATTCCATTCTTAACTAGAACCTCATTTTTCTTCACTATACTCATTTTATCTTAATTTGATAGAGTTATCATGTTCCTCTTGGTTAAATGTAGAGAAAGTCTACATTCTTAAAATTATTTATATTTAGATAACTTATTTTTTTTTATGAAGCCAGTGTGTTTGAAATTATATTTCATTACTTGAAGAGCATGTTTTATGCATTTTAAATAATTTGAGAATTATGTTATAAAATAGATGTTTGTAATCTGGAGACAGTATAGCCTTCATTTTTTGGTATAGTGTATATTTCGAGAGGGAAAGGACAGGTTTTCAATTTAAAAAAAGCGAAACACATAAAGAACAGCATTTTTCAAAAGTAAAATTTTTTATGTGATGTTCTCAAAGACAGAATCAATGGGGGTAGTAAAGAGGAATTTAAGATTGACAGTACTCTTACTGCAAATCGTAGATGCTGATGGCAGTTTATATTTATTAAATATTGAAAAGACAAACCCAGAAAAATTAATAACTTTAGTAAAAAGTCTGTTGGGGTTTCCTGGGCTGGTTCATGTAACTCTTGAACTCCTGTAAGTCTTAGCACCATATTGAGTGTAAAGATTAATTAAAAAATAAAATCTCAAAAAAAAGTCTATTTAAAAGCTATTACCTACCATAAACAGCATTGAGCTGTTGAATAATTATAAATCTTGCAACAAACGTAAAACTGCTCAGTTTTCTACAAATCTCTTTAGTGATGGCATTTTCCTTAACGTGAGCTGTAATTCAGCCCTCCTGATGCTTACCATCCTTATGACACTGAGCAACTAACTCACTTTAGGGGTCTCTGGCCTCAGTTTCCTCATTTTGCAGAATAATGGCATGGAGAAAGCTCAAAAACTCACTAAATCTCTAACTTTATGGCTCTCTCCCATGGTGATTTGAATCCTGTAGGGGTTGTTTGCTTCTTTGATTTCATCCTGAATTTCCAGTTGTTATCTGGGAGGGAAAAAAAAAAAGCAGTAAACCCTATTTAAATTCCAAAATTCTCTAAAAATAATGCATATGTGATAGACATGTGGATTCTGTGCTTGCAAGTATGTACCTCTTTAAGCAAAATTATGTGAATTTAGCACTTTTGATGATATAAATTGTTTTTTCTAAGCAGGACTCATTTGACTGTATTTTTCTAGATTCATTTATTTGTGCCTGCATATTTTCATTCAAAAAATATTTGGCTATTTCCTATGAGCCAGATACTGGGTTAGATGTTGGGAATATGTTGGTGAACAAGAAAAACACTGGCCTATCATTTACAGATCTTACATTTCAGGAAGACAGACAAATCATCTCAAAAGCAAGTAACTAGCAGAACACCCTCTAGTTCCATTCATGTTGTTGCAAATGGCCAGATTTCATTTCTTTTGATGGCTACATACTATCCCATTGTGTGTGTGTGTGTGTGTGTGTGTGTGTGTATAAAACACACACACACACACACACACACACACACCATGTCTTCTTTATCCATTCATCTGTTGATGGACATCTAGGTTCTTTCCATTGTTTGGCTATTGTGGACATTGCTGCTATAAACAACCAATCAAAGAAAGACAATTATCATATGCTCTCTCTGATAGGAGGAATTTGAGAGGGAGGGTGTGAGGTTGTGAGGGGTAGGGAGGGAAAAAATGAAACAAGAGGGAGGAAGACAAACCATAAGAGACTCTTAATCTCATGAAACAAACTGAGGGTTGCTAGAGGGTAGGGGGGAAGAACAGGGTGGCTGGGTTATGGACATTGGGGAGGGTGTGTGCTATGGTGAGGGCTGTGAATTGTGTAAGCCTGATGATTCACAGACCTGTACCCCTGGGGAAAATAATACATTATATGTTAATAAAAATAAATTAAAAATTTAAAAAAGCAAGCGACTAAAAAATGTGATGAATATAACGGGGATGGAGGTCAATGGTGGTATTTAGATGAGGGGAAGTCAGGTAGGGTCATTCTGAAAAGGGAAAATTCAAGTTGATAGAAAGTCTGAAGACACTGTGTTTATCAAAAAGGTGTCATGATACTTAAGGCCTATTATTATTATTATCACCTTACATTGGGCTTAAACTTTGTTATTGACAAAATGGTCTCACATATATTATCACAATATAAGTCTCACAAGAATCCTTTAGCCATTGGGAGACAGGGCACCATTTTACAGCAAAGGAAATAAACGGATTCTCAAAGAGGCAGAACAACTATTATAGGACATCCTAACTATATACCTGGTAAAGAGAGGACAGAAGCCCAAGGTCTTCTCGTTCCAAATGTGGTGCCCTTTCAGTGTAATATGCTGACTTGGAATCCCATTGTCTAGTATTTTCTTCATGACACTTCCATAGATTTCTATAAACCCAACCTTAGAACTTGAGACAAAATGAGAAATAATGTTCATAACCACATGCCTGAACTCTCCCTAGACAAGCAAGATACACTTCCCCATCATTTGGGCCCTACCAGCAATATGGCTACTGTATTTTATCCAGTGATCTTTGTTCCAAGAAATCAATTCCAATAGTCTTATTTGCAATTTATAATTATTTTCAGCAGAAATAATTAACACAGAATAATATGACTAAAAGTACACATGATATAAATTTATTATAACCAATGGGGGAATCAGATATTCTTCACAAAATTTAACATGAGAAAACCAAGTTCAGTTAAAATTAAAGAGAATATCACTGGTAAAACTGAATATGAACTTATAAAGGAAAAAGGAACAAAAATCAGAATTTTACTTCAAAAAATCCTAAATAAAGCAACTTTGGTAAAATTAAAGATAAAATGGGAAAAAAAATGGAGGAGAAAAACATAATCATGATATCTAAAAATTGTTTAAGGAAGTCACCTAATTTGAGGAGGATCTTCACAAGGGAAAAAGACTTTCAGTGAAAATTCATCATTTTCAGCATAATTCTGCCCCAAATGTCCACAATGTCAAAATTTCCATTGCATCTTGATGGCTAGAACAGAAAGGCAGGGTCAACACATAGCATACAGCCCTCTGGTGACATTCACTTATCTCAGTGTTCTCCTCCACTGCGTAGGGAATGTAGCAAGATTAAACAGGTAGATCACTCAGCTTGAGCCGGGTTTTCCCCAGCCACACTAGCAAGACCTGTCCTCATTGCCTCCGCTTTCGTTCCACACTCATGAACCTTCCGCTCTCATGCCGTTTTTCTCCCAACTAGTTTGTGGGGTTAAAGGTGGAACATATCTGTATGTTTGCGAGCCACTTGCCTTTCTTCTTCCTCTGTCTCCTGCTCCTTGTGCGAGGGAATAGCTTCCAAGCTCCTCCCACAAAGTCCCCTAAGCCTTCTAAATGTCACTTGCCACCTCTCAACACTGCCAGTGTACCCAGCACTGCTACAGCTGCTGGGTGAATGCTGCCAAACTCATAGGAGCCGTGTGGTGCCCCCTCCCACCGGAGTACTTGTTTTTCTGTTAATGCTGTGACTGTGAATGGTGCCTTCCCTTCCCCTACCTAGATGTGAGTCTGTGAGGACTGAGGACTACCGGAGCCCTGTTGCGCAACCATAGCTCGGCTTGTGCTTCTCAACTTTCTCTTCCCTTGGGATGACTTCTTTATGGGAAACTCCTCAGTCCCGTAGGCACTGGACCCCAGATTAGATGGGATCATGAGCCATCCAGTTGTGCCTGAATCCTATGGTGACTATGGCTCAGGCCCGTGCTGGGATCCCCCCACCCCCACTAACTTGTATTATAGATGTTCCACAGTCTGAAGCATAAAGATACCACCAGATGAAACTATAGATTTTTACACCCATGGGGTTTATCCTTGTTATTTGACCTCTCTACACTGCTTTTGACTGACAGCCTTTCCAAACAAGCAGAACTTAAGGTAAATATTTTCTTTTTTAAATAGAAATAGCAAATGAGTTTTGTTACAGGTTACTTACTAAATGTCAGATGACTTTCTCTGTGATATTTCACTATGGTTTTCGATTTGCACAAAAATAAAATTATACAGTGAGAACTCAAGACATTTAATAATTCAAGGTATTTTATTTCTGTTTTAAGATAACTAATATGGTTCTAACCACAAGCAATTATACTGTATTTAATTATGCTGTTATTTAAGAAATAAATGATCTTCTTTATCATTCATCTAACATTTCCTCCTCCGTTGAAATGAAAAGTTTCTCAAGTTTGAAAGTAGGAGCAAAAATATTTACAAAAACAGCTGAGTGTATTTGGTAAGATTTCACCTTACCATAACACCACTTTGCAGTGTGAGATCAGCTTGAACTCCAGTGTCAACACATTCCTATTGAATAGAAAGATAAATAATATTTTTAAATAAAAAGCTTAGAAAAAAATTCTGTATTTTTTATTACTTTGTATTTGATGACTTCAGATGGCTCAGATAACAGAGAATAAAACCTTAAATGACCCATTTCCAGAACTTTTTTTTTAAAGAATTAATATATAGTTCAGCCAAGAGACATTTAATTTTTTCCATAATGTTGGTCTAGCTAAGCCATAGACATTTAGTCTGGATCACCATTTCCCTCTCATAGGACCCATCTCTGGGGTATAGCAATCAATCCAATTCTACATGGGCCACAGAGCTTGGGAATCTGGGGACACCGAGATGGGACATGAGCCACTTTAGTCATTAGGATTGTCTAAGACCCCAGGCTCAATCCGAACAATAGGTGGGAAAAGAAGTCATAACCAAAAGGCTTCTGCAAAATTCTTAGGACAAAACATTTAGCTATAAAAATAAAACATTTGTATAGATGGAGTACATCAGAAAATATGATCACAGTGCTGTAGTCCAGGCTCAACATTGAGGACTGAGAAAACCAACGAGGATAAGTTTGTGATGGCTGGCCTCTTAGGTTTTGCCAACATGTCACTTCAGAGCAGAGCTCATTTCTGTTCCCGGAGTATGCCCTTATTGCTATTTATTTTTCCCCAGCTCCCTTTCCAGCAGTCCTGCCAGCTCCAACAGGACCAACATTTAGTGAAGGAAAACAAAAGACAACAAAAACTATCATTTGCAGAATTTATTTACGCTTTTCTTTATTTTTAAAGATTTTATTTGACAGAGAGAGAGAGATCATGAGTAGGCAGAGCAGCAGAGAGAGAGGGGAAGCAGGTTCCCTCCTGAGCAGAAAGCCCAATGCAGGGCTCGATCCCAGAACCCTGAGATCAGAACCCAAGCCGAAGGCAGAGGCTTAGCCCACTGAGCCACCCAGGCACCCCTTTATTTACGCTTTCTAATAACACTCTCCTGACTACTTGTACAGGTATTCTGAATTCCTACTTACTTTTCTCCTTTCAAAGACTCCACTTTAAGCAATTGTTCTCCTTAATCTCTCATATGGAGATCTTCAGATACATCTCGGTATAAGGACTATATAGTTCTCTGTGCCTTGCCAACTACCCCCAAGACATGGAGAATGCCTGCTCTGGTTTTGCTCTACTACACCCTTCCAGATTCCTGGTTTCTTATTTGACGCTATAGGATTTGTTGGGATATAAAACTATCAGAGATCAGCACCGGAGATCATGCTGACTTTTGCCAGAGAACTAACTACTCCCTGCCATATTTTTACCTTGTCCCATCAAGAGAATCACGCCGGCAGTGACCTAATAGGAGGAGATAAATTTGTCTTCTGGCTAGGGAATTCTCCAGTGCCTCAACGATGAATAGAAATGGTGAAAAACTCCTGAGTAAGTGCATAGAAAAGATAAATCCCAGTAAGCCAGGATATCTGTGAACTAAACTTCTGGTTTAAAAGACAAGTTGTTTTTTGTTTGTTTTAGTTCAACTCTTAAGGTAGACAAGTAGGCAAGGTTATATAGTCTTGGAAAAGGTAACCTCAAAAAAAAAAAAAAGGTAACTCACGATTTTAGGTAGTTGGATTTAACTCTCTGAAGTTTCTCTGAAATGTCACAAAACTATATTTACTTGAGATCTTTTGAAAAAAAAATTTATTTAATGTATCTGCTCTTCTTTCTTTTTAGGTCAGTCTCGATTCTCGAGTTAGAGAGGTGATCAATAGAAATCTGTTGGATCCTAATCCTCACATGTATGAAGATGCCCAACTTCAGATATATACCTTAATGCACAGAGATTCTTTTCCAAGGTTTTTGAACTCTCAAATTTATAAGTCCTTTGTTGAAAGTACTGCCAGCTCTACTTCTGAATCTTAATTTTCGTTAAAAAAAAAAAAATCATTTTGGAGGGCTGGGAGGGGAAATAAAAGTAGTTAAATGACACCAGAAACTGAGTTCCTGGAGAACTACAGTTTAGCATTCCTCAGGCTACTGTGAAAATACAACCATATGGTCTTTGTCTCCATTTTTATCAAGGTTATCCTGGTTAAGTTTGGAGAAAACACCACACGAAAACAACGGATTGCCAAATTAAGTTTGTTTTATTCAACACTCATTCTACTTGCAAGCAAACTGTATTTGTATCCTATGAACAGTCTCGTAGTGTACCCCAGAGACTGCATGTGCAAAGTAAAACTGCTTCATTTGCCACATAGCTGTTGTAATATTTAATCCAATGGCATAACTTATATCTGTATTTAAGGACTTTTGTGCAATATGGTCTTATAGAAATAATTGCCAAAAAATTGGCTGTGGTTTGCATTTTTAAATATAACCTAAGAGAGAAAAAGCCAATTTTTAAGTTGTAACAATGGTATTCAACATGTTATATACTGTGTTCAGTACACTCATTTTGAAGCCAATATTTCTGTACATGGAAAAAGAGCTATTTATCTCTGCTTGTTGGGAAATCCTAATGGGGGATTCCTCTGGTTGTTCACTGCCAAAACTGTGGCATTTTCTTTACAGAATAGTTTGTTATGTAAAAACAAAACAAAACAAAACAAGACAGACAATAAGAAGAAGAACAGAGAAAAAAAAAGCACAAAACAATTTGAAGATATTCTATCTCAATGACAAATCAAAGAGTGATAATTGTTTTTAATTGTAATAGAGGAAAATCTATGTATATATCAGATGTCCAATACTGTAATTAATTTATTAAAGACTGGCTCTCCAGTTCTAAAACGGTTGTGTAAAGTATGTACTTTAGCAAGAAAAAAAATACTAAGCTTGATAACTTAGTTTTTGGAATATATATTTAAAAAAAGGATTTAATAAAGGAATGCCTAAATGTAGCATCATAAAACATTTTGATGAATAGCATCTGTCCTGTGGCATATTTTCCTTGAAAGCAAAATCCAATGAAAAGCTAAGTTTTTAACCAAGAGAAGTTTTGTAAGGGTTATGAAGAAGATAATTCTCTACTTCAGACCTTAACTGTTTTCATAGTATCTTCAGAATGACTTATTTTAAAAATGTTAAAACCAAACTATTAATACTCATCCATAATTGAAAGGCAGTACAGTGCTCAAATCTTCTAGCTGCCATATTATTTTTTATAAGTACCACTAAATCTTTAAGACAGAATACTTGCCTGATATTGGCATGTACTTTTGACACTCAAGAAAACAGTATCCTATCATGTGCACACACAGAAAAGTCAGTGTCATATTTATATCAAGGTGTTGCATTTGAATATTAATATCCCCTGGAGGCTATTTTTTTAACTTAAACTTAATAAATATAATAGTGAGTCACCTAAAGTGAAAGTTTTAAAAATATTTATATCCACTGATAATACTGGCCTTATATTAAGGATGATATTAAAATTATAGGTTTTGTCATTTTTTAACTACCTCTCATTTTTTAATTTATTAAACATTTTTAAAATAAACAAGTTTGGGGTTTTCTTTTTAAAATTTATTTTACTTGAAAGGTTGGCATCATAAGTTTTTTTTTCCATAAAACTTAAGACATTTCAAGGATTGTTTTTTTAAGTGAATTTGATTTTCTAATTTATACAGAATTCAGGAGATACGGTTAAAAGGGCTATTATCTATTCCCTATGCAAATATTTTAACTATTGCAGTGTCTGACAAAATGGGATTAAAAAGTTCGCAGAGTAGAAAACAAAATGTTCTGTTTACACTGGCGTTGCTGACTATCCTACCATATTCAGCACTTTTAAATACATTATTTATGAAAATGTAGTTAGAAGATAGAAAATATTTATAATAATCATTTCTTTTAACAAATGCCTGTTTTTGTCTGAAAGTGTTAGTGTGTTAAAACCTACTTTATCCATGTCAATTAGATATTTACTATTTGAATAGTAGTTTTCCGTAATATGTTGGAAAAAAGATAGTTACGAAGATGTTTACAAAAAGTCCTATTTTTTTTTCTGAAAGAGTGAAGAAAAACCTATAAGAATCATCACTTCTATTGTGAAGTTCTATTGTTCCTAAATTATTTAATTTTTTCTTGAGTAGAATTGAGTTTATAATGCTTCTATGATGTATTCACATATATGTTGTAATATCATATTTGTTGCTATCTTTGAGGCACAATAAATTGGTGCACATGACCAGAAAATATGTAATATACTATGATACACCGCATGCATCCATCTTTTTACACATAGACTTTATATTCTTGTTGTTACTATATATGATGGTGACCTGCTAGCCATAAGTTATCTTTATAAGATACTTTGGACTATTAGATGAATTGTCTGTTTGACAATACCTTTAATATTTTACCAAATGTAAAAGATAAGGGCCCTTCTAAAGAGTCCTAATCTCTAACCTGGGCATTTGTAGAATACGGACTTTGAAATTAGTATATCCTTTTAAAACCTGATTAGGAAGTTGGGTTGAGAATGACTCGAGAGCAGATTTACACATCGGATGTTGGTAGCCATGTTATGTGAGCATTTCTGCGCTAAATTCCTGTTTGCGGGGGAGGGGAGGTTTCTCCTTTAATTTCAAAATGTTTGAAGTTTCTATGTATGAGTATATCTGTATATTTGCAACTCTACCAATTTTTAAAGTATGGTATAACTCCTTCTGTTTTAATTACAGAGCTATAATAAACAAACAAAAAGCCCTCAACTGGTGTCTATGCTACCATTCCAAGAGCACAATATTTGTTATGGTAGAATTTGATTTTTCCTAGTGAATATATTCCTCCCTGGGGACAAATTAGCACTTTAGAAGGTACATTTTGTGTTTTAGATTGTCAGGATTTCTTTGTGTATTGTTAGCATCTGCTAATGCACATGCTCTTTCTATAGTGCCTAAATTCAGATGTGTCTATCATGGAAAGAAAAGTGGAGGGTATAGATTATATATAAATACATATAACTAAATTGGAGAGCCAGATTTCTTCGGAGATGGATCTTGTACATAGATCACACTAATAATGGATGGCTGATGCTTCTTCTTCTTCACTCTGGATAATTGTTATTATGTTACCCAAAGGTAAAACAGATATTCTGACAGTGTTACAGGGCAGCTCTAAGCACAATGGGTGCATTGGCGTATGAACAACAATAGCAAAACACAATGTTGATATCCATGTTATGGAGTGCAAAAATCAAGACCATAATGTGGTCTTTTAAAAAAAAAAATCTTAAAATATGTACATAGGATGACCAGTTCTGATATTTGGTCATGGTGCATGGGGTGTTTATTAGTATCCTTTAATGCTGCCTAGGTTCTTACTTACAGAATGAAATGCACATCATCTATTTACCTGATAGTTCAGTTTTACAAAGGACTATAGAAATAGGTAAATAATGTCTATATATTAGGGGCAAAAATACATTTTTACCCCATTAAGTTGACTTAAAATAATACCTGATTCTTAATATTGAATGATCCATTTTTTTCTACACACTTTTAACATACTGAAAAAATGTCATTATCGGAACTGTGACAAGTTACATTTGCAAAAAATACAAAATATCAGATGCTTTGAGGAATAAATACAGAAGGAAGAAATTTTAAATACAATCAGAAAATAGGAAAATAGGAACTCTTTCAAAAGCCACCTGAAACTTCTTAGTCTAAATGTCTATAGATAGAACCCTATCAAACATAAATTTTTAAAACTTTGCTCTGGATACAATGGCATATTATTTTGAAAGGTGATAAAGACAGTTCCAGAAAACTTTCTTGCCTATGTATTTATATTTACAGCTTCTGACCCTAATTTTCAAAACATATTTTGCAAACATTTATATTTGCATGCTCCTTTCAGTTCTTTTTAAATTTCTGACCAATATAAAATGCTTGTTCTCCTGAGAAAACAGTATTAAATCTGTAAAAGTTTGAGTTATTCCTCACTTGTTACAACTGCAAGTATTTATCAATAAAACTGATACCAAAAACTTGGCTTCTGATCTTCCCTGCAATGTTCTTAATAGTATCCTTACAACACACAATAGTGCGTAGATTGATACTATTGTTCCCAGATACCAGGCTTTACTTACAAATTTGAATTCAAGTTACATTTCTGTCTCATGGAACTTTGGGCAAATACTATATTGAACCTCTCTAAGCAAGCTTCCTCATCCTCAAATGGGAAATACTCTATTTACAGGGTGGCCATGAGAATTAAAAGAAGTCAATATAGAAAGAATAAAGTGTTACATATATTATTATTACTTTATCAAAGTTCTCCAGCTCAGTAATTATTCCCATTTCAAGAATGTAAGAATTAAATGCCACTTTAATGTACTTTCCCCCTATTCTTTAGAAAACCATACTTTAAAAATCTGATTTAATTATTTATTAAACAAATACAACCATGCTTATTTTAAGATGGAGGACGGTATAAATCTGTTACTGCTTTGTTCAGGATGATTGAAATTCAGTTTTCAGTTCAAGAACATCACACTGACATACAACCAAGAAGTATGTTTCTTTCGATGACACACGTACACAGATATATGTATATAGATGTGTGTATGCATATGTGTGTATAATACTGTAGGCTTAAAATAAATGTTTAAATAAGATAAATAAAATGAAATCATTTGAAAGTTTTATTTCCAATGGAAATAAAACAACATTCCCAAGGACAGTAAGAATAGAAACATCAAATAAGAATAGAAACATCAAATAATTTGCCAAATAAGTATGTGGAAATAAAGCTAAGTTATGAGAGACTGGCCATTAGAAACACTGAAATTGGCATGGAATAGAAAGTATTCTGGTATGATTTTTTAAAAAATTTTACCTCGAAAATATGAAAATAAAAGAATAAAAGGTGGTTGTGTGTTCATAAAATTTTTCATTAAATGTTAGAAAAGTTTTAGATGCACAGAAAAACTGCAAAGATACTAGAGAGGTTCTATATACTGCACACCCATTGTGACATTTGTCACACTAATGACCCAATATGGATGCATTAAGTCCGTGCTTTATTCAGATTTCCACAGCTTTTACCTAGTGTCTTTTCTCTGTTACAGGATTTCATTCAACATACACATAACAGTTAGTCATCCTGTCTTCTTAAGTTCCTCTTAGTTGCAAGTTTCTCAAACATTTTTTGGTTTTGATGACCTTGACAGTATTGAAGAGTACTGGTCTAGTACTTTGTAAATGTCCCTTAACTGGAATTTGTCTGATTGTTTTCCCTATTATTAGACAGGTGTTACCAGTTTTGGGAAGACCACAGAAGTAAAGTGCCATTTATATCACATCTTATCAGAGGTACATACCACGATTATGACTTATTACTGTTAATACTGACCTTGATCATGTGGTTGAGGTAGTGTTTATTAGGTTTCACCACTGCAAAGCAATACATTATTAAGAGATCATATTAGAGGTGAATGTACTGGACATTAATGCTAAGATAAAAAAATTCTGAGCAGATTCCTCAGCGCTGCTATTAGGTTCCATTAAATGACTGCTAACAAATACCATGAAAATACAATAAACTGGAAAGTGCAATGGGAAAATAAAACTCCAAAACCGTTAGCTTGAATATTCACTTAATGGAGGTGAAAGTGAATTTTCTCCCTTGAATTGCCTTTACTTTATCCACTATATCGCTTGGATAGTAAATACTTCAGTCTGTCGTAAGAGGTAATTTTAATCAATAATCACTTTGCTGAGTGCTTTTCCATATTGCCCTCAACAGAACAATGAACACTGATTACTGAAATAATGTGAAAGATTTGATTTTCCCCCTTTGCTTTAACCTATTTGTCATAAATACAGCTTCTTGTATATGATTTTAGGGTGTTTGCCAAATATAAAAAAAAATTTCAGTGTTTGGTTCTGTAAAATTTTATACCAAATGTGTGCAATTTTTTGCTACCATGTTCATTGTACTTAATGATCTCTATTTTGTAGCCCACTAATAATAGTGGACCATAAAGGAGTTTTGAATGCATGAATGCAGCTTGAGACACATGCTTGGTTATTTTGCAATGTCAGAATAACTGTAGGTACTTATAAATTGAATAGATAATCTAGATGATTTTTCCTCCAATTTAAGTTGTTTTGGGTTTTTATTTCCCCATCCTTGAGTCTATTTTATCATTTTACCTATGTACAAATAATAGACTTCCTGAAAATGCTAGAATCTTCAATATGTAATAATAGAATTTGAGCATGACAATAATGTAAGGAAATTCAGAAGTCTCAAACTATCTTTTTTGTTTGTTTTCAAAGTAAATCAAACTACAGTTGTTTTCATTTAACTATATTGTGGAAACCTATGGATATTATTGTAAAATGCACATGCATTACACTTTTAAAAAATGTTTTGAATTAATAAAGAATTCACCAATGTATCCTTAGACAAGTTACTGTTTCCTCATTGGTGTAACACCATAGGAGTAAAACGTACACTTGTTTATATTACTTAAATTGCTTATGCATCTTAGGGAATATAATTTCTGGCTGGATTCTTCATAGCATTCCATAGTTATTGCTTCTCACATTTTTTTCACCTTTTGTGTAATTAAACTATATTCTTGAGTTGACTTGAGAATTCAGCTGAGAGATTGATCATACTCAATTCACGTGACTTCCCCCCATTTCTATGGTTAAGAAAAAATTCAGAGTTAAGACTTGGCAAACAGCTGATTCTAATAAAGATAAAAACAACTTATCGGTCCTGTTCTATACTCGGATCAAAATTAAAATGGTTTCAACCACTATCTTAAAGAAAAAACAATTTTATAAAGTAGTGTGGCTTGAATACACAAAGTGAAACGAATAGTTGAGGTGATCAGTTGGAGCTTTTTAAGTTGCAAAACCTATTTTTGCTCTGTATAATTTGGAGTCACCTCACTCCTCCACTTCACTTTTCATTTGTAAGGAATGAATGGAGACAGTGCAAGCTCATCTTACAAGGATTTCATACCTAACCTCAGTTTTGATTAGAGGACTCAGGATGATTTAGCCTTGCCAAGGCCTCCCGAAATTACCCCTTGATTTTTAAAATTCCAAGTTTTCAGCTCTCTCAACAGTGAAAACATTTAGTCGACCCTGCTCAAGCTAGTTAAGTAGTGGGAGTTCCCGGACTGAGTCAACCCTTGCCTCCCAAGGACTGTCTTGGTTACACTTACACCCTCATATCCATCCCTCTGGTGGGCTGCGAAAAGCTCTTTTGAAAATGCAAAGCATTATACCAATAAACTTCAATATTCCTGGCACCAATCCGCTATTTCAAGATTTTTGGAGGGAAACGGAGGTTGGGCTACCGAAGGCAGGACTCTGTGAAGGTTTTGCTGCGCTCTGGTTTATCGGAACTTGGAATCACTCGATCTGTTTTCAAAGTACTAACGGTAACTCGCAGTGAGGGGGGACGGGCAGGAGACTCGGTGAGGAACGAAGTCGTTTGAAAGCAAGTAAATTTCGCGGCCCACAAAGGCTGGAAAGATTTGGGGAAATTACTCCCCTAGTTGCCTTCCTCATGAACACGAGTCTTACCGTCGAAAAGAGGAGAAGGCAAAAAAGGCTGTCCTCAGCCCCACTAGCGGACTACACGGCCCTCCACCGCGGTACGCGAGATCCTCATTCAGTGCTTGGGATGTAAAATCTCGACGTCAGAAACCCGAGCGACAACCTTCAGCGTCCCCGCCCTCCCGCCCAACACGCCGCCCCCGCACGTTCCAAGAGGCGTTTCCGACCCAGCTTCTAAATGCGGGTCACTTCCCGCTCCGCCCCCTTCCGGCCTCCGCGAATAATACGGCGTTTAAATGCTTGCCGGAAGTTCCCACCGAGGCTTTCGGGAGGCCCTTTAAAAGTGGCGCGTGCGCCGGGCTGGGACCGGTCAGTTCTCGCCGGTTTCGAAACTCTGCGCGGTGTCGCGAGATTCGCTGTACGAAACTTCCGGCTCTGGTTGACGGCGGTGGTTGCCGTTTAGCTATGCGGTCCCAGCTCCTGCGGGGTGCTGCTCGGTGTTTGTGGGCCCGCAAGATTGTCAGCCCGGCCCGCCGGCACCTCAGCTGCGGTAGCCTGCCGCTGGAGGAGCTGTTCGCCCGCGGCGGGCCCTTGCGGACCTTTCTGGAGCGCCAGGCAGGGTCTGAAGTCCAGTTGCATGTCAGGGGGTCTGAGCTGCTGGCGACGGCCAAACTGCTGAGCGAGAAGGAGCGGGAGCTGCAGGAGACCGAGCACTTGCTACACGGTGAGGGTCGGGCCCGGGGGAACGGGATTCAAAGCAGATTCTTGACTCTTAATTTGCTTTTCCTACTATGCCGCTGGTCAGGTGTTCACACCTCCCTTAGTTAGAAGTTGTTTACTCAGTTGCAACCCTGTTTGCTTTGGATCAGAGGTCAAGGTATTGTTGTGTGCATTCTCATCCCAGTCTTTCGTGTTTGAGCCCTTATGCTCCCTTGACACAATGCATTACCCCCTTTTACAGAATGTAAGTGTACTGATTGCCTGCTCTCTGGTGGATGATCTTCAGCTCACCAAGCACAAGCTGTTATGGGCTTGAGAGCAGTGTTTCTCCAAGAGGTAGAAACCACCTGCGACAGTGCCAAGAGAGGTGCATGCTGAAGCCAGACTTTGGACTCAGAATCTGAGACCTAGAAATTGGCGTTTTTAACAAGTTTCCTTAGTGATTTAGTGTGCATTTAAACATGGATGGGTCCTAAGTTTCTGCATTTCTATAAGCTCCCATGGACCGCACTTTGGCTAGCATGGCTCTAGAGAGGGTCACAGTGTATTCAGGGAGAGAAAATTAATACTACAGCTGAAAGTGAGAACAGTACCTGAACAGACACCTAGGGAAAGCTAGGAGAACTTGTTGGGAAGGCCTTGTGCAAAGATAAAGGTCCCTTCTTAGAGGATATTCAGAATAGTTTAACCTTTACTGATCTTTTACCATACTCTAGGCTTTGCTTAAATATTTTTAAGTATTAACTCATCCAGTTGACATATCAAACTATGAAGTAGGTACTATTAGCCTCATGCATCAGAAGAGGAACATGAGGCATAAACCTAAAATAACTGCTCAGGCTAAACAGCTTCTAAGGAAAGGAGTTTGGATTGGACTCACTCCAAATCTTAGGCTTTTCATCACTGTACTCTTTGTTAAGCGGGGAAGGGGAGAGGTTATGGACAGTGGCATGTTGAGACATTTTATACGGGTGGGAATGTGAAATACTAATCTAAAAAGGCTGATTTTATCCTGTTGGCAGAAGGGAGCCAGCGGAAGCTTTTAGACTGCGGGAGTGAATGACAGAAATGGCTTTCTTGCTTGATTTGTGGTAGTTTCCATGTCAGCCTGAAACGAGATTGCAGATGCCACGGAAAACAAGATTAATGCAATAATCTAGGTGAGAGTTAAGAAGCATCTAAATTAAGTGATTTAAGAGAAAAAGTAGATGCCCCGAATTAGGGGGGGGATTAATTAACCGTATTGGGAAAAAATACTTTTGGGGGAAAATTAAATTGGTTTCATAGGTTAAGCCTAGCTTATCAAATGGATCTAAGGTTTAAGTATATTAAAAATCAAGCTGTAGAGAAGAGAATGTTAGAAAATTGTTACTGGCAAAACACAACTCAACTTTATATAACAATAGAAAATATCATTCAGCAACTCCTGAGTTTATGTCAGACACCACTAATTACCAAAAAAATATGGAACTACTTTTTAGCTTACAGCCTAGTGAAAGAGACAGATGTTTGAGAAGTAAAAATATAAGTGGGTTTTAATTTAATTTATAAATTGTTTTAATTTCTGCAATAAATAGCAATGTTATAAAAAGCAAAAGGTGGCATTTAAATAGATCTTGAAGAGAATACAGGAGGTTGCCAGACAGTGCAAGAGAAGGAGACTGAAGGCAGAGGTGACCTGCAAGAAGAAGGTATCAAATTGAAAGATTAGGATATAGCAGGAGCACAGAGTAGGTATGGATGTCAACAGTGTAACAGAAGCTTGAAACCAGAAAGACAGATAATAACCCTTCCTGACAAAGAACATGGATTTGTTCTTACAGACTGGGGGGAATTAGCATTATGTTTTTAAGCAGAGAAGCGACATCTTTTTAAAGATTAATGTTGGCCTCAGTGTTGAGAACGGATTGGGAAAATTCTCCAGGGGCCCCGGTGGCTGAGAGGCCAGTGAGGAGGCTGTTAAAACAGTCCGAGGAAGAGATGGTGGTAGTCAGGGACCTCAACAAGACCGATCTGGCAGCTTATGTCCTGAGAAGAGTGAAGAACAGCCAGAATTCTAAGAAAAATGTTAAGCTTCTGGGTTCAAAACATGAGTGGTACTATTAATTAAGATGAGAATATAAAAGTTGGATAAATTTTAGGAAAAAGATATTTTGTGCTGAACGGGCAGCCATATTTAACTAGAAGGACCTGTAAGCACATTCAGATAAAGATCATAATCTAGGTGAAAAAAAAACAACTGGCATACGAGAAAAACGGAATCTGAATATTCATGAGAACCTCTGCATACACTTGGTAAAGTTCTGAAGCAGATGAGAGTACTCAGGAAGAATTTGTAGACATAAAAATAAGATGCTAACAAAGACAGAAATACATAGTATTTGAGGAGCAGGCAGCGGAGGAAGCTATAAAAGATCAAGAAAGAATAGGCAATTGGGTTATGGACATTGGGGAGGCTGTGTGCTATGGGGAGTGCTGTAAAGTGTGTAAACCTGGCAATTCATAGACCTGTACCCCTGGGTTTAATAATACATTATATGTTAATAAAAAATAAAAAAGTTAAAGAGTAAAAAAAAAAAAATAGGCAGACCTTTGGGACCTTGAATAAGATAAATGAAGCTAAAAAAAAAAACAATTAAAATTCCCAGTAAGGGATTGTTGATACCTGATTAAAAAGGGCTCAGCTTTTCAGCTCACACTGAAATAGGTCTTTAGATTTGGCAATTTTGTCATGGGTGATTTTAATAAAAATGGTGTTATTAATATGATTATGAAATCCAGTGTAAGAACTTGAGAAGTAAATGAGAATTAACAAGAGAAGAGAATAAACATGGTATTTAATCTCCAGAAGTTTGGGTAGGAAAAGGGGGGGGTGTGATAACAAGTGGGTACTTGAAAGGTTGAAGAGAAAAAGACCCTTAAACTTGTTGGTTAATAATACTGAGAAAGAACTAGAATATTTCCATTGCCTAGGAATAACTATTCAGTTTAAACCCTCTAGAGCCAGTAGCCACATTTGGCTGGTGAGCACATATAATGTAGTCTGAATTGAGATGTACTATAAGGATAAAATAACAGATTTCAAAGACCTATAAAAAAATAATTTGTAATATTTTTAAAGTACATGTTGAGATGATAATGTTTTGGGTATATGGGGTTAATAAAAAAAAAAGTCATATTAAAATGAAAATTACCTGTAGACTTTAATTCCAATCTCCTTAGCGTTACAGAAGAACTGCATTTCAGAACTCAAAGGGACCTTGGAGGTCAACCAGCCCAGCTCCTTCATTTTTTCTCAGGATAATGGAATATCAGAGAAACTGTATATATTGGCCTAAGAGAACTTAGTGGTTGAACTAGGACTAGAATTCATTTTTCCTTTTTCTGCTTCAACACATTTGCCATTTCACCAGATTTCTTCCATGCTAAATTCTTGCCAGAATTTCTTGCCTTCCCACCACTTCTCATCATTCCTTATTTCACTGTTTGTGTTGTTACCTTTCCTTGAGTTAATGCTTCTTTCCACTTTCTGCCCATCCCCAAAATAAACACAGAAACAACCTTTTAGTGTGCTACCATTTCAATATTTAATCACCTAGTGTTTTAGGCTGTTACTCTTTGTGAGTTTTTCTCCCCTAAAAAATATAAAGAAACTAAAATTATCTAAAACCCTGCCTTGAGAGTACATATTACATATTATCATCTCTAATTCCCAGCATAGTTAGATCTTCATTAATGAACAGACATAGAAACCGATACCTGGAACAGTCCGATCTTTCACCAAAGTGAGCTCAACAAAGAGAGTTATGTGTAAGAGCTAAAAAACAATTTCTCTTCTCCTTTCTGTAGGTTGCATGTTGTCCTAGGATAGAGGGATGAGAAGGTATATTTTGTAAGGTAAAATGAAAACTCAAAGATGAAGTGAGAGTAAAGCGAGTGGGGCAGGGAGTACTTCATGTAAATATTATGTGAACATGAGGCAGAGTCTGAATGATTGGGTGGATATTTATTTTATATTAATGAAATATTTGTTAAAGGGACAATAAATAACTTTCTATTTTTTAATTCAGTTGTGGTCTAACTGATGGAACTTTCTGTTCCCCTTCTGTTAGTGTATAGTCTAAGTTGGAAAACTATAAGCATATTTGTTAATATGAATATTTCATAGAGGTAGAACTATAGACTAGTTTAATAGCTTCTTTATTTTTTTGTAGATTCTTTTTTATTTTACTTCTGTCATCAGGAAAAATGTTTAAGTTACATACTAATAAAAATGCATAAAATGCTACTTTAATTAATGCAGTTGTTAAAAGGACAAGATGGACATTTATTTTTCCTTCAGCTATAATAATAATAAAATAACGACC